CACAAAAGTACAACAATCTAGTCGCCGAAGCTGAACATAGTTTGAATGCAAAAATTGCTTCGCTCTAGGCGACAATAGCACATCTTACACTACCTGTGCTCCCCAGTTTCTGCCTCGAAACCAAGCAAAATGGACATGCGCTGACACGGCCACGAATTACTAGAAACCTTAGGAAGCCCGAACCAACTCGTCATCACGAGCGACAGAAACAGGCCTAACCCGACCGTCCACATCGGCCTTATCTAATATATTGGCTGATACAACATCGGTAACACCAAACATCCCGATTGACCAACGAAATCCGACGAGCTCTAAAGACCGATCCACTTACGCAACCGTTGCTGCATGGTATGATCAAAGTGCGACCTCAGTAGTCTTACCCAGTACAGCCGCAAAAAGGGTCAAGGACTAGGATCAGGCTGAAGAGAAGTCACCAATGCTCTCGATAACCGTGCTTCCCACGTCATGGAAGAGCAGACGGAACTACGGGACCTTGACACTTATATGAATCAAAGTTCCCGAGTACAAGGCAAAATCTTTAAGGGATAAATTGCTAGATGGCTTAAAGCAAGGAAGTTTCCTTCGTAAAAAATCGGAGTGCAAGCCAAGCCGAATAATTTAATGCACATCATTAGACATCCAATCACTATTCATTACGGGGAGTCCCAGCTAAATCGAGTAACATTGGGATTAACATATGATGTCGAGACGATACTTTTGGCGGCATATCGCCTGCTGATTGAGAACAGTGGGGTGTTTCACGGCGTGAACGCCAGCGGGACCACAACACGGAGAGTAACAAATGCATTAGTGTCATTCATGGCGTGCTCATGCTACCGACAACCAGCAACGAAGAAGCCCACAATCTTGACCTGGAAGAACGGCGTTACATCCGTGAAACTATCTGTGCGGGCGAGGTCCTATTTCAGTCGGTTACACGGTTACCCGTGTCGCCAAACTACAGAGTGAGTGGTCCGAGGATACTGAAACTAACGGTACACTTACAACAGATGGCCGTGAAGTTAATCCATAGCTGACAGTTGCTACACATCACACTTAGTTCGAACCGACGACTGAAGATAGCAGTGTGTGAGCCGCAGCCACTCCCCATTGTCGAGGAAACGACACAACCCGCGACTCAGTATAACCACAACAGCGTTCCATAAACCTGTGCGCCAAGATCCGTAGCTATGGAGCAGACTGCCGATGGACTATATACCCGCGGGTGCAGTTAAGACCAAAAACAGATTTCATTCTTATTGAGATTTGGCAATTCATCCAAAAAACCATTAGGTGCCTGCCTCTCATCGGTCTGCACAAATCCACATCGTTCATGTGCTCCTAGTCATAGCTTTTGACATCAGAGAACCTTTCATGTACGTAAACTAATGCTCAAGGCTCATTGAGTAAACTTTCCGAAATGCGGATGCTTCAAGGATCAAAAGCCTGCGACCTCATCGCTATAACGGAGACATCGTTAAGCCCTGACACAAGTGACATGGAGATCGCACTGCCAGGCATGCTCATTGTTCGGCACGACGAACCCAGAAAAGGTGGAGGTGTGGCTCTCTACTTCTGCAGCGACCTCCAAGGTGAGTTTATAGAGGATCCGCTCAGCACGGTACAGGATTTCCTTTTAGTGCCGTCTGCGTTTAAAAGGCGACGACACTTGCTTATTGGCGGGCATTTATCGCCCTCCTTCCTCCACCACCGACATGGACTTCTGTCAGGCATCCGCACTAAAAAGGATGATAAACATAACTTACATGCACATTCGCATTACTGTTGATTTCAAGATCCAGGCACTGGAACCCCAAACAGCTCCCGGAGAGCAGTTAAAGGCCGGTCTACAAGCGTTCGTCTTCAGTTACCCACTTTTTGGCCAATTCAACACTCCCATCCGATTCCGAGAAAAAGACATGCCTTCGCTATTGGATCGGATATTCACCAAAGAAGAACTAATGGTCGGCTGGCTGATCGTCAACATCCACTTTGGCCACAGAGATCATGTAGTCCTACCCTTCGAATACATTTTCTATGCAGTATGTCCTGTGGCAAGTGCCGACGCAACAAAGACGATCATACGCTACGACATACCAGCTCGACTAGGTGAGACAGCCAACTGGACCCTCCTGGCAGATGAGGCACCAGGTAGTGCATGGGAACATTCCGTCAGCCGGTTTAAATCTCTGGTTGCCGAAGTATCAGCGACTAAAACCTTCCGTCGGAGAAACGTGGTTTGGTTTCTGTGAAGTAAGACACGTAAGTGTATAGCAGCGCGTCACCAAGCCTGGCATATCTACAAATTCTCTTCGAGCACCGAGAATTGGATGGCCTATGAGACCCAACGTAACCATTGTACCCAGCTTGTTCGCTTGGATAGAATGGCGTACCAGCAGAAGTTGGTATTGCCTATGGTTTCAAAGCGCAAGCTTCTGTATCAACACGTCAACAGTCCAGGTAAGGTGAAATGCGGAATTCCTCCTATTCAAATGGCTGACGGACCCACACGGACACCGAAAAAGGTGACGAATAACCTGCGCCTACAATATGCTTCAGCATTTCAGTGAGATCACTGGTCACATCCCCTATGACGAGGGTTGTTTCAACCTCAAATCTCTTTCACATAGCCTTCACGGCAGAAGCTCTACTTAACGTTCTGGTAAGTATGTGCAAAAACAGCTCTTCTGAAGTAGATAATATACATATGAAATTGCTAGTGGCAGTAGACGAGAGTTTTGCTGAGCCTTTGTCTCGATTCTTCCAACACTGTTTTGACGAAATGTACGTGCTCGACGTGTGGAAACGCAATGATTTCTCCTATTCACAAGGGCGGTAGTCATTCCGAACCAACCAATTACCGTCACGTAAGCTTACTACCGATACTATGAAAGGCCATCGAAGCTATTATTTCTGATGCGCTAACGGTCTACTTGAAAGAAAGTACCTACCTCGCACCGGAACAGCACGGCTTCCGGTGAAATCGATCGTGTACTACAAATCTACCACTAACACGATCCATGTGGACTGAGGCACTAGACTCTGACACAGAAGTTGACATAGTCGCTCTCGACTTCGCAGAGGAGTTCGACCGGGTATACCGGTTACATATACTGATCTTCAAACTCCAGAGCTTTGGTATTGATGACGCTCTCCTATTATGGATCAAAAGCTTCCTTCTACACCGGTGCTTGGAAGTACGAGTGCGTGAATCCCTGTCAGATCCCATCTAATTTGAATGCCGAGCACCACAAGGAAGGCTACTTGAACCGCGGTTATTTTTGACGCATATTAACGATATCACACGTCTCATAAGTTCAAACGGCCAGCATTATGCCGATGAGATCAAGATATGGAGGGCGGTCAAGACACCAAAGGATATCACAGTAATTCAAGCTTATCTGGACAGGGGATACACGTGGTCAATCCAGTATCTACTTCGATTCAATGTGGACAAAGGTAGAGTGTTGCACTTACGGCACAAATCGGGCAACCATGAACTTCAAACGTCTTCTGAAGAGAAAGATCTGGGAGTTTTTGGATAGGTTGACCTTGGATGTTTGAATCAGTCTGACACGGCATCAAATAAGGGCATTCAACACGTGGGTCTCCAGAAGCGTGCTTCGGACGATTCGACCTTTCGATTTTTCCACAACTTCTCGGCTGCTATGTACGGCCAAATGTGGGATAAGCAATACAGGTCTGGCATACATGGCTGAGGAGAAATCTCACCGCGTTGGAGATACTCCAACGCCGGGCAACCAAAACTGCCAATGATCTATATAATTTGCCATATCAACGTACGATTCAAGTGCTCGGGGTCTTCAGCGGAAACAGTATCGGCGAATGCCCGGGGACTTACCAGATTTCGACAGATCTCAACCACATGTGCCACTACTTGCTAGAGTTCAGTCACAACAGCAATTTGCGAGGCCTCCATCTCAAACAGTCACTGCAGTACAGTCGTTTGGAATGCCATCGGAGTTTCTTTTCCGTACACGTTTGCCGAACATGGATTGCCCTACCGGAATCTCTCATATGTGCTCCCATGCTGGCAAAGTTCAAAGCCCAAGTTGACCGTACACTTATTTCGCTGCACCAGCTTACAAGACTCATTACTCATGGATAAACATAAGTGTCTGTAAGAGATTTCACTAGCCGTCAGATCCTAGGTTATCTTCCACGTTTTCACCCCCTGTATTTGTACACAAGGTGACACCATTTTTATCAACACCCCATTTACCGTCATTTCTTATGGATTTACCTTGGATCTACAGCTTGTACTACGTATACCTCGTTGAGTTTACCCGTGTAGACCCAATTTTGCTAAAATTCTTTTACTTTGAAATTTCGCCATAACCATCCCACGGGACCCATTAAGCATTAGATTATTTTGCCCCTACAAAACCACTGTTCCATGCCATGTGAATACATTGAAAGTTCATCCATCCCCATCAGAAGTTCAAACGGGCTCGATGAAACATAGCTTTCCTAGTAATACTGGGTCGAAATTTTTCGGCGGAAAGAACGTATGCAGTTTCAAAATGGCGTATTCGTAATTTCCAGCATTACTGATATATCACGTTGGATGTGTACCTGATGTGATTAGTGCTGGCATGCGATATTTGGCTAAATACTCGCTGAAACTTCGATGCTGCACAAAGATATGTGTGCAGGGCGCTATGCGTTTGACTAAGCTACGCCATCCGATGACGCTTACCGAAGTAGATTCTCAAAGGAAAAGTACCTGTAGATCAGGTTTATCAGTCCGCTAAAATCAACGAGTTAATCGGACGAATCGTTGTGTGTATAATTACCACAACAACTGCGCCCAACACATCTCGCTCTGTTACTGTTTGGGAATGAATTGCAGTGTTTCGTACCAGCTTTGGGTACAAATGAGTCAACCAAATTTAGGAGACTAAAGTTCTTACAATTCAAGGTGCAAACGGATATATATATATAGGATGTATTACAGTTACTTATCCCGAAACGCTTACCCCAGTCAGATTATTGAAGCATTCAGCCATCTTCGAGTTTTCATTTTCAGCCACTTCAGTTGAACGGTCACATTGGGTTTCATGCAAGTAGACTGTTCCCGTCGTTGTACCGCCTGATGTACCCTGTGGTTAAGATCGGTTTTGGCCTTTTCACATTCTTACCTGTTCAAATCCTTCATCGAAGTCAGCATACCTGAGCAACCTGCTTGTATTGTTCACCAGGTTGTAGTGATCAACCAGCTGAAGAAGCTTTCTGTGCATTTCCTTTGACTGATTCCGCTTGCTCAAGTACATCTTGAAGGTTGCAGTATACGCTTCCTTTTCGGGATACCAATGCCATACTGAGTCCACAGTGATTTCCGGCTTTCTACCCTCCTCCACGTGCTCGCGCACACGTACTGTGCAGAGTAAGCGATACTGCAGTAAACAAAGATAAGAAGCTTCCATGAATATGGTGGACTATACATGCATAACATAAAGTACCTAGAAAGATGGCCGAGTAAAGTGCCGAACTGCCAAGGCGAGTGGCCTAATAACCATTGTGAACTCTCACTACTTACGAAGTTCTATGACTTAATAAACGTTAACTGTGACTTGGCATTCATACTGTTAAACTTGCTCCCAAACGACATCTTATTTTTCTTGTCTTACTGTACCGACAATGTTAGGGCAATTGCGATTTGGTACACTACGATTTCTTAGCATCTTCAAGGTGTGTTATTAATACAGCTAGACATCTTCTGATTGTGACTATTCCGAGTTAAGTGGCTTGTTATCCATAATATTTCATACAAAGCCTGTCGTCGCTGATAATAGTTTGCCATTGGTCTGCACAATTTGGGTAATCTGCATATCATCTCCTGATCTCGTAATACCGATGAGTGCTTGGAATATCTCGAAATTTGGTGCATCACAGGAAAAAAAGTAGAACAAAGAAAAAAGGAGCTCATTTTCTCATTACTGCTGAACAAGAAAGCTAAAACGGCATGGTGAATGTGACTTTTCTTGACCCCCGATTACATTGACGCATGGTGTATTGAATATATTCTTACTGCAGCACGAAAAAATAACAACGTTCCAAGTACCAGAAAGAGCCAAGTTTCGCACTTTTGTGCACATTCATCCTCCAACCACACGCAATCCGCAAGCTGCCGTTCATAATAATAATAGGTATAGTTCACTTCAGCTGTGAAGCTGCGTCCGTATTGGCACTGATCATATGCAGACAGTAATACCATGCTCTTGCATGAGCAGTATGAATATGTGGTAGACAAAAAATAAAATCTCCGGTTTCTTGCTCGACGGTGCGCGACACAGCCCAACAGGATGGTGCGATCATTAGGTACAGCGGAATTCCATGGCGCATATGATATATATGCGTTTCCCAGAGCAGTTGAACAATGTATATTTCTCGATTGTGCGATTGGACCGATCATATGTTACTACATGATCTCAAACCACTTTTTGACGGGTATAGCTAATTGATCGGGCTGAATCTTTTGCGAAATTGTGAGGTTGTTAAGAAGTAATAAATGTAGATAAATCTAAATGCACACGTGGTAATACGGCAATCTGTGAAACCATCTTCTGAGGACCTGCTTCCGTGCCGGATGTTCCCACTACGGGTTTCACCCGCACTTCCATGCTTCAGCTAACCTTGTGCCGGTGGGGCTTCTAAAGAAGGAAACCCATCGCCAATATAACTACTCTTTAAGGTTTTGAGTAATTGCACACTCAACATTTTGATGATTTGATATCTCGAATCAGCTTGCCAAACTTGCTGCAAAGTTACTTCTTCTAGTTTAGCATAATTCTCCGTCTTTTAAGACAGTATGTAAACAGTATAAATGTGCAAAGTCTGAGCTGTTAGAAAAGCCTTCACTATTATGCAACTCCAGTTACAGGGTCAAACCTAGTTAAGAGCAACCGGGGAAATTGACAACGTCAACTAAATACGATGGGAGCAATAACAATGGAAAATGATAAAAGAGGAGCAAGAGTAAGCCAAGGCTTGACAGGTCGTCTGGGATGGTTCAAAAAAATGACAAAAATTGAAACGCACATCTGTAGCGTCATCGTAATACCCACGCTAGCACCCAGGTAAATCCGTCCACCATGCATTTTGCGACTGCGTGACACAATACTGGTCTGCTTGTCTTCACTCCAGGAACAGAATTGAAAACATGTAATGCAAATATTGCAATGCATCGTCGATACAATTTTTAACAATGGATAACGTGGGCGCAAAAGTAACAAAAGTCACACGGCTGACAAATTTGAGGCGAAAAATTATCTTAGCGGCATTCCAGCCGACAGTATTGGGTGATAAGATTCAGCTGCTGACCCCTCAATTTTGCTTTGCGGCTAAGTTTCAGGAGGTAATGGCAAGCATGACCGGGATTTTGCAATATCTTATGCGTCAGAAAGTAGGTCGCCTCGTAGACGGAGATAACTCCCGCTGTACAGTTCTAGGGATTTCAGTCACTGCTCGTATAGCGGGTGGAGCAATCCCTTCACATTTTTGGTTGACATACGTTGTGGAGTCTTCAATACAACCACAGCGCATTTTACCCAGGGTTGTCAGACTTGCTTCGCGTGCCCTACATGAGGCCTAACATATGCGTCAGGCATTTGAGGGGAAATGATGTGACTGAACCCGATTATTGATGCCATAGGTAAAAGGCAGAAATTTTGATTCAACGACATGTGCGTTGAGAAAGACCAATAATAAGCGGAGCCCGAACACTGATCCTTGTGGAAAACCGCAGTTCACACCAATAGGTTCAGAAAATGACCCCGAACCCGAAGCCGCCGCTGAAGAAGGAAATTTCCTATTCACCCATTGACTGTGTTCTCAATTCCGTACGTTTGCAGCTTTTGGAGATGGATGCGGTAATCTAAGCGTTAGAAAGCTTTAAAAAAGTCAAGATAGATGACATTAAAGCAGGTCCCACTGTCAGCTATCTCGGTCCAACTGCCGCGGGCAATCAGCTGTTTGGTAGTACATAACCGATGCTGGTGGAATCCGTGTTGCTTTGGAGCTATGATGTTTAATCTTTCAAAGCAGCCCATTACAGTCTCAGCTATGATCGATCACATCAACTTTGAGAGCACCGTGACGATAATCACTGGGCGATAGTTGAAAGGCTCTGAAGAGCTACCGTTCTTGAAAATCGGGGTGAAGATGCCCTGATTCCAAATCTTAAGGACCTGCTGTTCATCTAGGCATCTTTAGAAAAATCGCGTTACTGGCTTAGCTATCCTCGTAAGTGCCACCTGCAATGCTTTCGGGGGAATGTTGTCAACTTCAGGTGAACTATTGGCACGCAACGATAGCAGCCTCATCGAAACAGTCACTAAACTAAAAGTGAAGTGTGCAAATAACGGCGTCTGGGGGGAAAGAACAGTCATGGGACCCAGGATGTTGGCACCTCGGAATATTGGAGCATGGTGAACGCGTAGAACGTCAGCTGCAACTTCGACGGTTTGAGCACATCCAATTGCTGAGAAGAGTGGGTGAACAGCATATTTCATTTTCTGGTGACTCTTCGCATGTTCATACAGAAGCTTATAGTTAGCATAAAACCCTTCATCTAGGCTCTGCTGGTATATTTGTTTGTCCTCACGGACAAGCGCAGTACTATGATTGCGCTGCCTTACATAGTTGTTCCATTGCCAGCGCTAGGGTTCGCTCTGTATGCATGCCACGTTGCATCTCTGCCTACCATGCGTAGTAAGGGTACAGTTTCGAATGGATGCTGGAGTGGTTACAGAATTAAGGGGCCTGTTTCCTGATCCGGATGTGATCAGATCACTGAACTTGTCAGCGAACTCAATCCAGACATGATCAATAGAACGGTAATCCGAGAACTCCCGGAAGTGAACTGACTACTGGTTGGTACGGCGGAGCAGTACGCCACAGGGCGCGTCGCCAGGTTGCGGATCGGGGAACGCCTTCTTTGTGAGGGTAACTGTGAATAAGTCTGCTGTTCGCAGACGAGATGAATAAGCAGTCGTGGACAATCAGCTGCAGCGTCCTAGAGCGTGGAAGGCTCTGGGCTGGTCACCTGCTTCCTCATTAAATACCACAAGAGCTTGCAAGACGCTGTGTCAAAGTCAATGTGACCTGCTATAGGGTCACTTACCACTCAGTTCTGGTCACAGAACTAAGTACTTAACGGAGGTCGGATGAACCATTTCGATGACCACCGGCTTCTATGAAGGCAAATGATCCACCCGGCTGTCAACTGCCTTCGTGCTTTGCGGCGAACTCGGTAGTCCTTGCTGCTTCACTAGGGCTCTTTAAGCGAACTGAGTAGTTTACTTCTACTAAAAAGCCGTTCACCTTGAGAGCCGGCTCCCAACTGTTGCGGTATTCGTCAATCGCCCAGCTGCCTTGCGGGATAGATATTTACGACCCAAGGCTCCAGGTGGGGTACCCTAAGTCAACCCTTCTCCTCGACCTGGGCAGCCGGGGATTAGTATGCCCACACAACCTATGGATCCAAGTCTCAACAATTCTTCGCGCTCTCTCTCTCTCTGCGCTCTCACTCTAATTGCTTTCACTCTCTCAGTCTGCTCTCATTCGCCCAGGTGCTGGCGGCTGAACCTGTCAAACCACTTTTTACCACACAACCGTTTACTCATTTTGTTTCACGCTTGTTAAACCTCCAATCTTGGTCTTCCACCTCCGTTTTCGAGTTCACGGCATCGTACCACATTGGGCGAACGTTCTCGCTATGCGGAGCAGCAGCCTAGGTTCGAAGATGTGCCAAGTCGTGTTGACAAGCCGTTTCTAGCGCCCCGTTCCCAGTTCAAGCTGGCAACCTTCCATGTTCGGACAGTGATACAGGTTGGATCACAGGCAGTTCTTGCTCGCAGTCTAGAAACTACGGCCATTGATGTCTGCTGTCTCAGAGAGACCCATTTACAGGACTCTAGAAAGACGCTGCGACTAGTTGCACCGTAGGAGAATTCCACTGGCATTTTCACTTGGCGCTTATCTGGAGACTCAACAGCCGAAGCTGCTGGTTATGCTGACCTGAGGATTGCTTTCAGCACACGTGCAGAGGCCGCACTACTAGACTGGATCCCTGTTAACAGTCGAACATGCGCGATCCGACTTGAAACTCCAGTGCGACTGTCCGGGCGCGAAGTCAGCAGGCGCCGTCTATTCATTGTCGCAGGGTACACTTCCACAGATTGCAGCCCGGAGTCAGTTAAAGATGTTATATGGTCAATTGGCCAACCTACTCCGTTAAAGACGCCCTACTGACACCTTGGTGTTCCCCGGGGACTTGAACTCGCAGGTCGATAGACTTGAAGTTGACGAACGTGTACTCGGTGGTCAACACGGCCATGGCACTCGCAGAACTGACAACGGTGATCGACTACTTCAGCCTTGCGCCGATCACGGC